TTCTGGATAGCTATACTGGAACAAAAGGATGCCACATCATTGGATGGAAATGAAAATTAGCAGCTTACAGAATGAAAATGTGAAAAAAGATGCAGCACACTAGTCCATTTTGTGGCAACTCAAAATGGCACTCAGTAGTTTGTATGACCCCCATGTGCTTGCATACATGCCTGACAATGTTGGGGCATTCTCCTAAGGAGACAATGGATGTTGTCCTGGGGAATCGCCTCCCACATTTGGACCGGGACATCATTGAGCTTCTGAACAGTCTGAGGTGCAACCTGGGGGTGTCAAATGGACCAAAACATAATGCCCCAGAGGTGTCCTTTAGGAACTCCCTGTTTACTCTGACCATATGAGAGCAGGCATTGTTTTGAACCAAGACCAACCTACGACCCATACTCCAGTGTAGGGTCCAACAATGGGTGAAGGATTTAATTCCAATACCTATGGATAGTCAGGGTGCCTTTGCCTAACCTGTAGAGATCAAATGCAAGTTGGGTTCCACAGTGCCAGGCAGTGAACGCAGGGCCAGTTCGAACTTAATAAAAAAAGAAAAAACAAACAAGCAAAATCTCATGGACCATCATCAATCTGTATTAACTTCTCATGTATGCCGTAACCATGCATGTATTAATTAATTAAAACATTAAAGAGGTGTTCCCCCAGATGGTGTACTAAGAAATAAGGTATGCATTCAAATTTTTTTTACAGCCACAGATTAGCTGTCTACGAAGTTCATTTACTGTATTGGTGGCACTTTATAAAAATGTCCCACTATTAAGTATTAGTACGGTATTAGAAAGTCCTTAAGTCATCATGTACATATTTCTTTACACCTCCTCAGTATGTCATTTATAAATGTACATATGTTTATCCATCTGTTACTGTTACACCATGTACTACTGTCACTGCTATACTGGTATCACTATGTACAGCTATCACTGCAACTGTATCACTGCTGTTTATAATCACAATCATATTTATTATCATTATCATAATAATATCTGTATTCATAAATGGTTTGCTAAGGAGGAATGGTGCTCTGTAAATGTATGAATTAGTAAGGCAGTTAAAATGGAAATGGACTACTTTTTAAAAAAATGAGCAACTGACCTGCCATTTAAAGAAAAGCGAGTAGCTATTATCTTAAAAGGTCTTTTGCAGAGTTGGCAAAAGTACAGACATTATGTACTATGCAAATACTACTGTTAAAAACTACTCAAGTAAAAGTTGAAGTACTGATTTCTTACACGTCTTCAACAACACTAATTAGCCTGCAGTTTGTAGCTATCCACTTCACTGGGCTTCTCCTTCAAGCTGCAGCCACTGTTTGTTTGGGTGGGTGATTTGGGCATCAATAGCATGTAATTTCAAGCCTGCGCTAATCAACATCTCATCCCTCCTGTGACCCATGGCTTTTTATATTCAGAGCAAGTGAATATATTTTAGTTTCAATATTAATGATTTAAAAAATTGCAGTAGAGAGAGTAGGGGCAGGGTTAAGGGGATGGTGACACTCATGCAAAATAAATAAATACTGCAGTTATCAGCAGCTAGCATGCTGCAAAATGGTAACTCTTCAGCTAAAGAAAATATCTTCTGTGTTTGCAGGTGAAGTTCATGAAAAGCATTCCAGGCACAGCATTGGTAGAGATGGGTGATGAGTATGCTGTGGACCGAGCTGTGACTCACCTAAATGGTATCAAAGTATTTGGCAAGAAATTCAACGTCTGGTAAGCACTAAATATGCATGCTTCAGACTTGAAGACACTT